TCCTTCTACACTTACTATTTTTGGGGAACATGTGGAACGGGTTCTGAACCCTATTCCATCTTGTTTTATTGACCGTTCGATTGATTTGATGAATCCTGAACGTGCAGAACTCAGCAATCGAGCGAATCTTGGTTATGTTTAAAGCATTAGTATCTCTTTAATCTGTAGGGATGAGATGAGAATTTAAGTGTTTTTATTACATGAAGTGGAGCGTGTTTTGGCGTCACCCATGTCCGACGGTCCGTCTGTCCACAATTGCTCTTTAAGGCACAGTATTATAGCCTGAGGATTGAAAATTGAAAAACACTTTTTATGAGTTTTTGCCCTTATCTTGAAAATGCATTCACTTTTTAGCTTGTAAACAGTTCTTGATGGATTTTAAATATACAGTTCATTATAACGCAAAAACACAAGGTTGAATATTTCATACTGGTGATTGTTACTGTACTAGTAAATAAGAAATAATATGAAAGCTGCCATTGGGCGTTTATTACCTTGCCTGACTATCCTTGTTATAAGGTATGTATATCGAACATTTACATTTTGTGAAAAAAGTCACTTGTGTTTTTAGATGGTGGTTATTGACTTATCTAATTTTCACCTATCCGATTACATATTAAAAACTGTGTAACTTTGTCTTAAATTCCTCCGCTTTACTACACCATTCTAAATATCGAAACATATATATTGACTGTATTGGCCCCTCTGTCATTATTTGGGAAATGGATATAAATTGTGCATTTCGCTAATAATGTACCTCAAATAGGATTGATTGACACTGTAGTCTCGATCATAAAGCGATAGAGAATGCTTTGTAGAAAAGCTCGACCTTTACAACCTGTTATTCAAGGAAAGGTATTATATAGAAATGTCTAACATCTGGCTGTGAATGAATTAAAGAAACACAATAATGTAATACTTTTAAAGGGACATTCCGCTTTTTTCATAATTAAAAACGTTGTATAGCTGAAAATATTTCTAAAATATACTATTTATATTTTATGTATCTACTGAATTTGTTTTAAAAGGGTTAATTAAAAACAGAGAGTACTAATTGTTAATTAAACAGTTTTACCTAGTTTTGGCTCAATAATTGCTAGATATTATTTGTTGAAACCTTCAGAATACGTAGGAGACATATTTCAATACAATTAGACGTTTATTTTACTTGAATCCGTATAGGAGTTTTTTAACAGCTTCCAAAAACATAACGAACTTAAAAACCGTACGTAATGTTTTTAAAATATTTTTGGCGTTGTAAAATTAACGGCTGGATTTTGTTTAGTTAAAACTTTCAGATACGCTAAAGGGCAGATTTTGGTGTATAGTTTGAGCCAAAATAATTTCGACCTACTAAAAAAGCGGAATGTCCCTTGAACCTTAGTCGAAAATTATCTAACGGCGTAAAGCCTATTTATGAGTGAAATATAATAATTTCAATACAACTCTTTTGTAATATTCCTTACTATATTGTATTATTAATGGTTTGAAGCATATAATATTGTTAATGGTTTGAAGCTTGTGGATTTGATCGAAACTAATAGATATTTTCTTTTGAATTTAACATACATTTCCATTTTGTTGTCTTTCTTTAGATATACTGAATAAAATATAACCGACATAACTTTTGTCATTATCAGAATAGATCAATTCGTCACTTTAATCTTTCTAGAACAAGAAAGTTGAATTCTACGCCATATTTTGTTTAATGGAGGAAACAATGTCTTGACAGCTTTTGTCGGAGAGATCTTTAACGTGCACAATCTAAATAAGTCTCGGGTGTTGCCACTTGACCTTGGCGGCAGGGAGGTTGAAAATTCGAAAATATACAGTGACCTATGGTCAGAACTGAACGCCGGACGTTATTGTTAAAAGTAATAATATTTTTTTAGCAAAATGCCATCAAATATACCTCATGAAGATATAGTTGACTATGATGTTAATCACGAATTTTTCTACTAGGATGTCATATCAACTTCCTTGTTAGTAAAATAATACGGTGGCTCACATACGACATGAATTTGAATTTGAAATAACCTAGGTGATAATTACTTTCACCAAGGTGAAAATTACGTGATAATTCCTGTAACTTTGAATAAAAAACTTTAATTTTCACCAAGGTAATAATCCAATGAATTTTGAATTAAAAACATTTTTCGCCGTTCTTTACAAGATGGTAGCTGGTCATATGGACAAAACTAGTTGAAAATGAAAATGAAAAAACCTTTTTAATTGAAAATAACAGGAATTATCACCTGATTTTCACCTAGTTGAAAATTAAACTTTTTAATTGAAAATAACAGGAATTATCACCTGATTTTCACCTAGTTGAAAATTAAACTTTTTAATTGAAAATAACAGGAATTATCACCTGATTTTCACCTAGTTGAAAATTAAACTTTTTAATTGAAAATAACAGGAATTATCACCTGATTTTCACCTAGTTGAAAATTAAACTTTTTAATTGAAAATAACAGGAATTATCACCTGATTTTCACCTAGTTGAAAATTAAACTTTTTAATTGAAAACAAAAGTAATTAGGTGAATATTAAAGTTATTATTTGAAAATTACAGGAATTATCACCTGATTTTCACCTAGTTGAAAATTAAACTTTTTAATTGAAAATAACAGGAATTATCACCTGATTTTCACCTAGTTGAAAATTAAACTTTTTAATTGAAAATAACAGGAATTATCACCTGATTTTCACCTAGTTGAAAATTAAACTTTTTAATTGAAAATAACAGGAATTATCACCTGATTTTCACCTAGTTGAAAATTAAACTTTTTAATTGAAAACAAAAGTAATTAGGTGAATATTAAAGTTATTATTTGAAAATAACAGGAATTATCACCTAATGTTTTTTAATTAAAAAATTAATTATCACTTAGGTGAATTCAAGTTTTTAATTCAAAATAAAAGTGAAATAATGTCGTATGTGAGCCACCGTAGAATAAGAAAACATATCATTCTTATACCTTTTATTATTGTTTTTGAAGCCTTGACAATGTTAATATATTTTTAGATTCAATATAGTTATATGTTGAAAAAGCAAAGTGGTAAATCAAGTTTTAGTCTAATGTAAATTTCTTCCTGGTTGAAAAATGACAAAATATTTTATATTCTGTGGTGTCGTTGTTCAATATTTTCTTGTTGTAAATTGTAAGTATGATGTATATACGGTTTTATAGTTCTGCTATTAATGATGTTGTATTGATGTTCATTCTTCTATTATTATTATAGTGTGCTGGGTGGTAAGGCTATTGTACTATTTAAATACCATTGTGGGTTGGGCAATGTAATATGATATTTTCTGTATTGCGGCATACTTATTAACAGTGTTACAAATATAGCGATATAGGAAATCTCACAAAATTGCTATATAAAAAGCATTTGATGTGTTGAATAAATACTCAACTGTCACACGAGATCCAAAATCTGAAACACGGTGTGGACTAGTCATGTATACATCTCATTGTATGCCAGCCAGATCCCAAAATTGTTGTAAAGACACCCACAACACGTCTTTTCTTCTCTTTGTCATCCATTTTTCAGCCAAAAAATTATATTTCAGACTCAATTTCCTAAACAAATTTCATATATGTGGTTTAAATGCTGCCAAAGTGTACACTAAGCTGATAGTGACAACCCTGCTAAAGTTTTCATGGAATGCTACGAATATACATTGTGGCGGAGCCAAAGGGAGGGGGGGGGGGGGGTGGCAAAGGGGTCACCAACCCCTCCTTGTAGTCCTGAAGACAGGTTTTTCGGGCAAAAATCTCATTACTAGGTGAGAAATTTGGGCAACCTTAGATACCCCCCCCCCCCTTCGGACGTTAACACAGACAAAAACAAGCAGTACAGAATTTAGAAATCATCGAAGATCTACAATAGAAGTGAAATAAAATAATGTTATCATAATAATAATAATAATAACTTTATTTGACAACCCATTTAGACAGAAGTCTAATTTTCAATAGGTCCCACTAAACTACAAATTATATACAAGATTACAGAAAGAATAAAAATACAGAAAATAACATAAAACATATAAACATTTACAATGTAACATGGATGAGGAAGGAAATATGAAAATGTAACCACTATGTTTCCCCACGAAACTACGAATTATATACTAAAAATATATAATACTATATATAATAAAAACACAGAAAATTTCATATATAACATATATACATTTACAATGCATGACGGATGTGGTGAAAAATATAAAAATGTAAACAATGTGTTTCTTATATGATATATATGATGGTATAAGTTTTTTAAGTAAAATGAAATGGAGAGAAAAACAAAAGGACTGGTTATAAATGCTATGGAATCAATTAATCAGTATTGTCAGTAAGAACAAACTTCTTCAGCTCTTGTCTATATGTATATAAAGAAGGGTTATGTTTTACAGTTTGTGGTAATTAATTCCAAAGTAAAGAAGCTGTATATTGAAATGTTCTCATCATAGCAGTTTTATTACATTTCGGTATGTTTAAAGTTCGGAGTGTTTCTGATCTCAGTGTCATACTGGTTTCCGTTAATTTTGATCTTTCCGTAAATTTATTGTATAAATATTCAGGGTGTCCAATTCGAAATATTTTGAATGTCATTATTCCTACGACTTAAAACTAATAATTAAGAGTAAAAATAAAATTTCTCTTTCTTGTCATGACAATATTTGCATATACGCGTATTGTGATATGTTATCTATATTATAGGTAAACAGTTTGGTTATTTAGAGTTATTTACATGTCATTGTTATAATAGTATACTAATTGTGATATGTTATTTGTATTATAGGTAAACAGTTTGGTTATTTACAGTTATTTACATGTCATTGTTATAATAGTATACTAATTGTGATATGTTATCTATATTATAGGTAAACAGTTTGGTTATTTAGAGTTATTTACATGTCATTGTTATAATAGTATACTAATTGTGATATGTTATCTGTATTATAGGTAAACAGTTTGGTTATTTAGAGTTATTTACATGTCATTGTTATAATAGTATACTAATTGTGATATGTTATTTGTATTATAGGTAAACAGTTTGGTTATTTAGAGTTATTTACATGTCATTGTTATAATAGTATACTAATTGTGATATGTTATCTGTATAATAGGTAAACAGTTTGGTTATTTAGAGTTATTTACATGTTATTGTTATAATAGTATACTAATTGTGATATGTTATCTATATTATAGGTAAACAGTTTGGTTATTTAGAGTTATTTACATGTCATTGTTATAATAGTATACTAATTGTGATATGTTATCTGTATTATAGGTAAACAGTTTGGTTATTTAGAGTTATTTACATGTCATTGTTATAATAGTATGTACTAATTGTGATATGTTATCTATATTATAGGTAAACAGTTCGGTTATTTAGAGTTATTTACATGTCATTGTTATAATAGTTTACTAATTGTGATATGTTATCTGTATTATAGGTAAACAGTTTGGTTATTTAGAGTTATTTACACGTCATTGTTATAATAGTATACTAATTGTGATATGTTATCTGTATTTAGGTAAACAGTTTGGTTATTTAGAGTTATTTACATGTCATTGTACAAATGATAATGATTGTAATACTGATGGTAGTTGTCAGAGTAATGGATGTGCAACAGGCTGGTATGGTTCTACTTGTCAAAAACGTAAGTATTGTTGTAATACTAATAGTATAGTACTATCTATATATGATTTATGTATTTTATAGAACTTGGACATATAAAATATACTGAAGAATACTAAACGAGTTTTATTTTCAAAGTTGATCAATGTTAATTCAACGTCTGGTCGTCAGTGACGTTTCTGGGAAATGTTAGGTGAGGTGCCGAGCAGGGACCACAGGAAATTATTTCACTATGTAAAATGATACAAAAATTGAAATCATTTCATTTACATCGTTCTTCTCAAATATCAATCAACTTTACATTTTTCTTCTATGACAACATTCTTCTTCTTCTTCTGCTCAAGAGACTCCAGGGACCTCTTCATAAGATATTATAATCAGATCTGTTAGTAGATGTCGATGTCAATAGACAAATAAAAACCTACCAAATGAGAATTAATAAAAAGTTGCATGGTGTCATGCCGTATTCACCAAATGTGAGGACCATAAGAAAATTCAATTCAACAATTGTGTAAGATGTTGTAAATAAAGATTTTATTATATATCTATAAAATATTATATAGTATTTTGTATACTCCTGATGATGAGGGAATTGTTACAACTTTCTACAGACAATATATGTTTGTTCTTATTTATAGTATAAATATGTAATAAGTTTCTGTAATTTATCTTAGAGAATGTTGCATTAGAGAAACCAGCGTCTCAAGTATCACAATACGATGAGTTTGGACCTGAACTAGTAGTAGATGGTGATAGATCACAAAATGTTTATAGATGTACGAATACTAATTATAATAATAATACATGGTGGAGTGTAAACTTAATAGATACTTATCCTATTAGACAAATACATATTTTATATAGACGTGGAGATTATCTGACTTATCCTGGAGATACTGATAATTCTACCGATGAGTGTAAGTAATTTACTTATTATTTATAATCAGTTTGTATCAACATGTCTATGTTA